GACTGTCATAGCACCCATGAGAAGCAGAAGGAGCGGAATAGGAGTAATAGCTTATGGAGAACACGTATATGCGGTAAGAAAGGCAGGTTGGCTAGTCTATCAACAACCATATTAAGTTTAGAATCTAGCCTCACATCTTCTATCATTATTAAAATGACCTCGCCTCACAAATTGGTTTTTAGATGGGAAATAATCTACTAGAAGGTAATGGAGGCAGATGAATAATCAATAGGTCAGGAGTGGCTAAGTCTACTTGAAATAAGCCACTCTTTTAAAACAGAAGCAATGGTTACCAACCATATTTTCTTGCTTGTCTACAGGTAGGCGGCTTTGATGGAGCTAATCGACTTAGGAGTGCAGAAGCCTACAGCCCTGTGGCCAACACATGGCGCACAATCCCCACCATGTTTAATCCTCGTAGCAATTTTGGCATCGAAGTGGTAGATGACCTCTTATTTGTGGTGGGGGGTTTCAATGGCTTCACCACTACATTTAATGTTGAGTGCTATGATGAAAAGACTGATGAATGGTATGATGCTCATGATATGAGTATATACCGCAGTGCTCTGAGCTGCTGTGTGGTACCAGGGCTAGCCAATGTCGGGGAATATGCAGCTAGACGGGACAACTTCACAGGATTAACACTTCGAGATGAAGTAAAGTATTCTGCTTCGACAAGTACCCTACCTGTATGAGCCTCTTCATTTAGCTAATAAAAAGTCTAAGCAATAAGTATTAATTCTTTTTTTAAATAAATGCAGTGCTTAAACTTGGAAGAGTATTGGAAAATGTTCCACTTGAGGGAGCCAGGGGTAGGGATGAAGGTGGGAGGGGAAAGGGCAATTATATTTAGCAATTTACACCAGAAAACACAGTATGAAACATACCTAAAGATATAAGTTTATTTAATTAAAACAGTTACATTGAAACAATTAGTGGGATGGATAGCTTAACATAGAACAATACATATTATTTTACAATATTCAGTCTCAAATAGCCCTAAACACTATAGAGTTCTAACTAAAAGGGAGAGGTCATTTAAAAAAAAAAAAGATTTCTTTGCAGTAGAGCTCGACACCAATACTGTAAAGTCCAAGAAATTAACCTTATCTATTCATAAATATGTCAATGAGCCCTAGGTACACAGATTAGTATGAGACTATTTAAACATCTAACAAAGTCTACTTTTTAAATATGCATGTAACAAAATAGCATTAAGTTCTGTATAGGACTACTGTATATTATCCATACTTTCATTTAAGCTGTTTATATTAGATGAACTCACTATAACAAAAAAAAAAAGAAAAGAAAAAAAAAGAAAGAAAAAGGGTAGCTTCAAAACTAAGTACTACAAAGGCATTCTCAACAAAGTGCAATAATTGTGGATATCACATTGAATCCTCCACAGCAAAGTAATGATCACTATAGTGTCCTAAGGTGGTTTAGCTGTATTATATTACTGTAGAATAGTTCTGTTTCCAAAGACCTATGGTCTGCAGTAAGTACTACATAGTGGTAAAGACAATTTCTAGAAATAATCACTGGTAACTGACAAAAAAGTTATGTTTTTTAAATACCTAAAAAGCACCAAAATAGGAGTGTGTTCACAAGAATTTAACAGAGTGCTAAGCTGTATCAAAAAGCTTGATGTGTTAACAACAATCCAAAAAAAAGTGTAAACAGGCTCTCAAATATCCAAGAGTTAAAATAAAAAAAACTATAGCACCCCACAAGCACCATTATTAGTCTAGAATAATATGCAGAGATCACACCTTGCTTCACAATTTCTTACACTTTAAAATACACATGAAGCACATTTTGGTGACATAGTTTTACAAGCAGCTTTAGCCTCTTATAAATGTGACTAATCTCACATTTATTGAGCTAAATTTAGGGACAGTACAAAGTAAATTTAGGTCCCTTTAAGTAAGCCTATTTAGACAAAAGCATCTATGAAGTTCACAAGCTGACCACTGTGCCTTACAAACTTATGATACGTTACTACTATTATAGAACCTAAGCAATATTTGGAGTGTTTCAGATACACAAAGCTACAATATTAGTCAAGACCCACATGGAAAAAAAAAGTGCCCTGGAAACTACTGATTTACCAATACAAGAGGTTTAAAACCTTCCATATCCATTTTATTTTCCTAATCTCAAACTTCTACTCTGTCCAGTCAAGCTGGGTTGTTGGGATTTTTTGTCCAATAAATGCCATACAAATCTAGCTGATCAACAAAAACTCCAAGTCAATAAAGCTTTAAAAGTATTTAGCAAAAGATTTCTTTTGGCAGAGTAAAAAAGTCAGCAGAAGTTGATTATTTTGTTGAGATGCAGAACACTCACCATGCACAATGAATAACCGCAAGTGAGAATGTGTCACACACTAAGCTCATGGCTGACATTCACAAGATAAATAACTTACTACAAATTTCAGTTAACTTTGCTTTTTAATCATAACCCAGAAGGAACATGCAATTATAAATGACCTGACCATATACAAAGTCATTAATTTTTGGCATAATCAGCCAAAATGTACTTGGATTCGTTTTAAGCTGAGTACTTATCTTAGGTGCTTAACCAACAAACATGAAACCTATAACATTTCAGTAAATATATAGGAAGTAAGAAAATTCTAACCTTTTATCCAAAGTATCATATCAGTTCTTGATCATCTTGTCTACTGCATTTCAAAATGAATTTGGTAAGTTTCCTTTAGTCTAAGATTTCTGAATGTCAGCCTTGAACAGATTTAAAGAAATCTGGTTTCTCTCTTAACAGGTTAGTCATAATATTCCAGCAACACAAACTAATGTCAAAAATAACAAATGTGAATTTCAAATCTGAATATTAGAAAGCAAATGCAAGAGTCAGGAAAACCTGCACACACCATGCAAATGAAGGACTTACCCTTCCTTTTAGTCGTGGCCTAGGCTGACTGCCTGCTAAATCGGAAAAGGACAGTTTCAATTCAAATGAAAAATTTTCATTAACAGGACTAGAATCCTAATTTTTAAAACATCATTTAAATGTGAATGATATCCTTCCTTACAAGCAATCCTATGATTGTTTTGGAAGGCTTGGGATAAATTGGCCACTCCACTATCACAAGTAAAAGGCCTATACCTTTCCAAAGAACAGGAGTCAGTAAAAAGAAGACAAAGTTATCTAAATTTTTAAAAATCAAGTAAAGTAAATCAACAAGTCTTAGAAACTTCATGTAATGTGGTATTGTCTTAAACTATAGACAACCTTCCATAGACCAAGCCAAATGAATTCAACTGTGGCTTACCAGAATGCAAGTTACTTTTTACCACAAGTTTATAGTCTTTTCCAAAATCATTAAATAAAAGATTTAAAGCAAATTTTATTTCAATCACCAAAAGCACTCTAATCTGGAAAATTAGTTTTGAAATTTAAAATATCTTTAAACATAAGGTCTTACATACTAGGTTTCTAAACCAGGATATTAACATTCATACAACTGGACACCCCACATTTCTAGCTGAGCTCCTTTCTTTTGATGTTTGAATGCTCATGTACCTAAGTAAAGATACTGGTTTTACTAAACCATATGGTGTACTGGAAAAACACTACAACTGATGGTAAACTTGTATAAGGTGTCACTGGCTAACAACCATCTTTTTGACAGCTTTCGACTTCATGGATCACTGCTGATCTGAAAGGTAGACTATGAAACTACAGCACTCCAGATCCAAAAATGACATTCTCTGAGAAGAAAGAGTGAACTGGGATCACTGACTTAACCACTAGCCTGATACCACAATGGAAACTAAACCTGTTCTATTAATCAGTAAGAGACCAACCTGAGTTCTATTCTGCATAAAGGGAATTTTATTTTAGAGAATAAGATAGTAAATTGTATTAAAAAAAAAAAAGACAGGAAGAAAAAGTAAAGAAAGTAATAAAGACTATAGTAACAATTTCAAAAGGTCAAAATTATATACCCAAATTTGGTATTTTAGGCTCAGGTAACATTTTCACTCAGTCTATGGCAACTGATTAAATGAAGAATAGAAAAGTTGGGCACAGGTTAGGGTTAAGGTCTTTCTTTAGTAATTACAGCTTAAAATTTTACTTCCCATTAAAAAAAAAACAGTATATACCTCTCAGAAAGGAATGATTTGGAATAAACGATAAAAATTCGCACTACAGAGAATCAGAATTGAAGGCATTACATATTGATTGTCAGGCATATTTTACATTATCAAACTTGTTCTAAACTACGCTTGCAACCTCTGAAAATGTAAGTTCTTCAACTTCTCAAATGTCTTTGACTTTGATAGTGTCATTTTTTTAGTTCATACCAGCTTGTGTTTTCCAAAGAAATCTGTTCCACGTATAGAACTTTCTCTGTATGTACATAGCTAAGAAAACAGAATAACTGACTTTTTTGTCAACTGCTTTCACCAAATTACAGTGAGTTTAAGTCTGTGATAGTTGCCAAACAAATTTTAAAAGTTCAAAAAATGTATTTCATATATATATATGTGAATTTTCTACCAATAATCCCTACTACAAGTAATCATGGTAGTGTTGATAAATACATGTAAAATATCTGCCACAGAAACATCCTGAAGTCATCATCTTACTGAAAAATTGTGCTTTCTCTTTAAAATTTCAGCCTAACCAACTATTGGACATGCCTCCTCCATAAGAGAACTAAGTGCATAGACACCAATCTTCCCTTCAAATTTAACCATTCAGGAAAAGATTAAAAGTAACATAAGAAAAGTGCAAATAAAACTGGTGCTTAAAAGCACATTCAACTATAAGTCCTTAAGATAAAGGAACTTGGGATGGTAGAAAAAAGTCAAATGATGACATCTGATTTTCCTCACATACAGTAAAATCTCTCCTAAAGATCTTACTTGACCTGGCTACTATATGTTCATTTCAAGGACAAGGAAGCAAATTATCCAAAATG